GCGCTCGCTTCAAGCCCCTCTCCGCCTGGATTGCCAAAGCGTGGATAGAGGAGTTCACCTGCCAGAACGAGAAAAAATCAGCTCGGTAAAAAAAAAAAAAACACTACTTCAACTTACCACCATGGCGTGAGAGGCAGCTCGAGCGCCTATGAGATTTGTAGGAAGATCGGCCCACACTGCAACCTCCTCGGGGCAAGTGGCCTTCTTGCTTTTTCGGAGACTGTAGCTCGGCGTCAGCACGCTCCCAACCTCATCGTGACTTCCCGAGCCTGAAGGCATAGCCCGGGTATAAGCAATGTCGGCATAGGGGACCCTTGCCGCTTCCTGAATTGGAGGGGGCACCTCGGGCTCCGCAACCCGGGAAGGATCGGCGTGGACCCGCTTAGCAACTCGCTTCCTCCTTTTCATGCCAGCAAACAAGTTCGCACCCCGAGTCTTCTCTGCCTCCATAACACCTGCAAAAAGAAGCTCGGTGTCAGAAGATGGGAATAAAAACAAAGCAAAAGCAAGCCTCTGAGCAAGAAACCTACCCGAACTCAGACCGGTTTGAATAAGCTTGTCCTCCGTCAGGTAGACTTCACACTTGAGCCCAAGCCGGGCCCAGTCCTAGAGGCCCTTCACCGTATCTTCGTCTAATGCGACACCGAGGTCAGGAACGGCCAACCCCCACTCAGTAGGGAATGGCCACCCCGTAGCACTTCGAACCACGAAGTAGTCCTGCTTCCATGTAAAAGCTTGAAGCTCGGACGAGGTGACAAGTAGTACGCCCTCCTACGCCCGGGCAGGGGACCTGCTTGTTTCTTAAGCATGAGAATAGCGGAAAAAATTTCCAGGTCCAAAGGAAGGCAGTGTTCATAGCAAAGGGAGATGGTCCCGACAAGGTTGCGGATAGAGTTCGGGTGAAGCTGACCTACAGTGACGTCGAAGTGGTTCATGACCTCGACGATAAGGGGATGGAAGGGAAGGCGTAGCCCAACAACAAGCTGCTTCCGGAATATCACGATCTCATCCGGACCATGCTCCCAAGGAAAGTCGCCCGAGGGTAAAATGTAAGTATACTCCCCGGGCAGGTTGTACTGGGCGATAAGGGACCAAAGCCTCTCGGATGTCATAGTGGAAGGTCCGAACTTATCTGGCACCCGACCTCGACAGGAGGTGGATGCCAAACTACCCGAGGTGACTCGGCCTACGGGCTCTTCCTCGAGCTCTACCTCGGGCCCCGCCTCGAACTCACTAAGGCTGTCGGGGGCAGCAGCTCGGTTCGTAGAACTGGCATCGGACTCCCCCAGGAGACTATCTAAACTACCCAAGCTAGACATCGAAACAAAGAGGGCTGAGGACTCACCAGCAAAAGCTACCAGACTACGAAAAGTGACGCGAGCTCAAGGAACGAATGCTGAAGGATGGCGAAGGACTGTGACCAGGGGCCCCCCACTATTTATAGCCACTGTACTCGCGCATCAACGGCCAAGATCGAAACCATCCAACGACTTCCTACGAAACCGGCTGCGCACCCCCGAGAAAAAGTCGGTTTGGCATGCATTTTTGACGTTCAAAAATTTGAAATCGTTTACGCGCGTGAGCTACACGCAGCCCGGGATTGACCCTTGGCTGAACCAAGCTGACCCTGGTTGAGCCAAGAACACAAGCAGGTCAGACCGGAGAAGTTCCAANAAAAAAAAAAAAAACAAACAATGGGGATGAGTGGGGGAAGAGATAAAATAAGCAGTGTGATGAAGAAACTGTCTTGGAGTAAAGCAACATCCTACCCACCGACGTATGGAGAGTTGGAGACGTCTTTGCTTTGCTCCAACAAATAATAGACAAGGAATAATACAATGATAAAAATAGCAGGGGTGACTGAAGAGTGTTGACTCCACCGTCCACCGTACCGAATTACCCATACCGTTAATGATAGAGATGTTATGTTTCAACTTTCAACTTTGAAGCGCTCTAGAAATTTGCTTTTTAATTAGTTGTTACCATTGTCTCGGACCCATCAACAATCCACGCTCTCATCGCTCATCATCCCTTTTAAATGTACGGATTCGACTATGGTGCCGGAGAGATATGATATGATACCGGAAAAATTATAAAACAGTGATTTCATTAAATCTATCTAACTATTTCTATTTGCTAGTTGGATTATGCCCATATTATATAATTGAAAGTGCACATTTACCCTTATCTAATTCTTCAAGGAAGAAGAAAGGGTCCTTAGATGGTCCACAAATGTTTAAGAGGTATGGTGTTATAGTCAAACAGTAAGAATACGTCAAGTATCATAAAAAATTAGAAATATTGACAAAGAATTATGTTGTTATAGTCAAACAGTACCCATATGGACCATCTTTTGTAATGGTTTCACATGGAAGTTCCCTCGCAAATGCTACAGTAAAGTCTAACTTTTCTAGACTATACCATAAAACCAACTTCCATGAGTCATACGCCCAATCAATTTAGTAAGTTGCCCACTTAGGTCTTGTTCGTTTTTCAGTAAGTTATTTATCAGGGTAAATGGAATTATTTGGGTAAGTTTTTCTTGGGAAACACTTTGGCAAGTGCATTTACTCATTTTCTTTAACTTCTCATGTAAATAAAGTAATGACTATTTTAGTCATAAAAACCTATTTATTAAAAGAAACATTTTTGTCCCATTCAAATGTTGACAACTTCTCCCTAAGTGGGAAAGTTATTTACCCGCCTAGGAAAGTAATACCCAGGAAAATAAACTTTCCCTAGTCCCCACAAATCTGAAAAAAGAAAATCGAATTCTTGGTCAATGGGAACTAAAATCCCATTGACCAACTTTCCCCCCTCTCAAAATCCAAAAAAAAAACACCCCCTTAGTGAGTCATATCACCGTGCCTGGTAAGGTATTCTATCAAATCAAACAAAAAAAAAACCCAAACACAACTTAAATTAATAGGATGGGCTATGGGACAAGGATTCCTGCCCAAAACGAGATCTCTTCGAAGGAATTAAATCTCCTTTTCTACATTTATTTACACTAAGGGGACAATCTTTTTTCAGATTTTGAGATGGGAAAGTTGGTCAATGGGATTTTAATTCCCATTGATCAAGAAACCCATGTTTTTTGATCGGATTTATGTGAGGACCAGGAAAAGTTTATTTACCCAGATAAGCGATACCCATCTCCTATAGGTGGGTAAATAACTTTCCCACTAGAGTGAAAAGTTGCCAACACTTGAATGGAACAAAAATGTCCCTTTTAATAATGAATTTTTAATTGTTTATAACTAAAATGGTCATTACCTTCATAGAAAATAAAAAAAGGGTTAATACACTTAACAATTACCTAGATAAATGCATTTATCTGAATAAATAACTTACTGAAAAAGGAATGGGGCGTAAATAAATTATCATTATAATTAGGGTTGTAAATTGAATTGGCCTAACTTACATCTTATATTATTAGAGATGGCAATTTGATTTGCCCTTAATCAAGGTGGACTTTCTAACCACTTATCAAGTTTAGGACAACCCAAAACTAACAAGGTAGGGTGTCTTGAACAAATTTATTTTAGGGGGTTTTATTGTTCAGTCCACCCCTAAAAATGGTCGATGTTAAATCCATGAATAGGATGAAGGGGGGGGGGCTATTAGTAGACTATGAGGGGGCTGTAATTTCAAACTTAGGGACTCGCTTTTTTAACCATGTAAGTATATTTACCCATATTCTTTTATTTTCTAAGTAAATAAAATGACTATTTTAACCATAAAAATCTATTATTAAATGGGACATTTTTGTCCCACTCAAGTGTTGGAATTTTTCCTACAAGTGGAAAAATTATTTATCCACCTAGGAAATAGGTCAACAAAAATAATTTTCTTAATCCTCACATTAATATAAAAAAATAACATAAAATTTTTTATCAATATAAACCAAAATCCCATTAACCAACTTTCTCCTTTCAAAAAAACGCCCCTTAATACATACTATTTGCTTCAACTTCCAACAGGTCAAAGGAACAGCCACCGAGCAGGTGATAATGGAGAAAGGAAAGAATTAATAAAAAAAGCGAAAAGAAACTAGCTATTGTCGTCAAATAAAGACCAAAGACGGAAGACCTCTTTCTCTCTCTCTCCGTCCCTGTCCGTAACACATATTCTCTCTCCTCCTCCTCACTCTCAGTCCTCACATGTAAGTGTGAACCAGAGGAACGGCAACGGAAAAAAAAAGAAAAAAAAAACAGATCTTTCTCTCTCCTTTTTCTAATCTTCTAAACGAGGGAAAGAAGGAATTCAATGGGGTTCTGATTCTGAAAACTAAAAGATTTCTTACACCATTAGATAGAGAAATTGATAGACAGAGAAAGATAGAGACAGGAGAAGGAGAAGAGAAAGCGAGAGAGATGGGAGGAGTGACTTCGTCCATGGCGGCCAAGTTCGCATTCTTCCCACCCAATCCTCCTTCTTACAAGGTAATTGCAGACGAAGTCACTGGTCTCTTGATTCTGAGCCCCTTCCCTCACCGTGAGAACGTCGATGTTCTCAAATTGCCCACTCGTCGTGGCACTGAGATTATGGCCATCTACGTTCGACATCCCATGGCGACCTCTACTGTCCTCTACTCTCATGGCAACGCCGCCGATCTCGGCCAGATGTATGAGCTCTTCATCGAATTGAGTATCCATCTGGGAGTCAATCTCATGGGGTACTATCTTCTACTACTTGTCCTCTTTCTGTCTAAGAAATTTCGTTGCTTTTTTTAATTGTTCGGTTGTTGTACCATCTGGGTTTTGATTTTGCAAGCTATTGATTTATTGGAGAGAGCGTGTTATAGTAAAATTCTGGTCAGCTCAGCTATTTCCGGTTTAGGTTCTACTGGTAATTTTCCCCTTTTGTTCCAAAACATCCTGGAAGCTGTTAAATGGAAGGCGTACTGGATTGCAGGTGAATTGAGCTAATGTCCATCTTGATTCATCTAATTAAACGCTTCAGACAAAGAATGGTGTTAATGTTGGTCCTTCCGGAAAAGGAAAAAAGAACATCAAAAGAAGAAATAGTATTAGAAGAAGATTCTTGGTTTCGGAGTATATACCACCTAATAACCATGTACATATTTACATTATATTTTTATTAGAGAATATTCTAGGTTGGACTTCATAGTTATCTAGTGAATTTAAATCTACCTACTTAGTATCTATGGATAGATCTATCGATCTTCTATGTTAGTGATTGAACCAAGATGAAGTTACTTTTTTTCCACTTTATTATATAGCCAGTTATTGCAGTTGGACTTTGTTGAGAAAAGAGATTCTACCAAAGGGATATGAAGAAGATGGGAACTTAGACAGTTTTACATGGTTAGGATTTATAGCTCAATTTGTTACAAGGGAATCGGTTGAGATTCTTCTATCTACATATAAAAATGGGTTTTGATTCAATGAAGGGTCTCCTACTTGAAGTGATGGTGCTATTTTGAAGTCGGATCTCATTACATTTAACAACCATAACCCACGTTTATTGGTATGGTTCCAATCTTGCACGAATCTAACCTCATGGCATTAATCTGTTTTTGGATCTTGAACCACGAGGAATTTGGAAGATTTCTGATGCATTTCCAATTTTATGCAGATATGACTATTCTGGGTATGGACAATCATCTGGGAAGGTTAGTTTCAGGTTTATTTTTTCTTGAAAAGAATCTCTTCATTCTTTCTCATTGGAAGAAAATGAAAAAAATATATTTATGTAGTATGTTTGATGTAAATTGACATTACCTGAGGACAACCTCTGATTAAGTGTTTTATGCTCTGTAGCCAAGTGAGCAGAATACCTATGCAGATATAGAAGCTGCCTATAAGTACCTTGAAGAGAATTACGGTGCTAAGCAAGAAGATATTATCCTCTATGGCCAATCTGTTGGAAGTGGCCCAACTTTAGATCTTGCAGCTCGTTTGCCTCAATTAAGAGCTGTTGTTCTGCATAGTCCTATACTTTCAGGCTTAAGAGTCATGTACCCTGTGAAACGCACATACTGGTTTGACATCTATAAGGTTACATTTTTTCTTCTCCATGACATTTAACAGAGATTGTAACTCAATATCATTGCATCTGGAGTTTGACAATTGGTTCTCTTCGTCCTGTGCAGAACATTGACAAAATTCCACTGGTTAACTGTCCTGTATTGATCATTCATGTAAGTCCTGGTTTTCTCTTCACTTGACAATTACAATTAGTGATTACCAATCACATGATGGCTTATTCAAGTTACTTATATGAAGCTTGCTTGGACTAGCCTTAAGTAATTCCATGTGATTGAGGTGCAGTAGCCTCTTATACTTAATTTGAATGTTATTTTTGAGACAAACAAATCTGATTTAATATGAAGAAATTAAGAATTTAAAGGAGGAATAATGAGACAACGATTCTACCCATGCTATACGTTGTTCCTATCCTAAGATGTATCAATATGGATATGTTAACAAGTACATGTCTCCCCATCACTCAAGACCGATGGCATGTATAACGACATAATTCAAATCAACAAAACCTTCTCCCAATTATATGGGGTTGGCTACATGTATCCTGTTTCACCATTCAACTCTATTGAGGGCTATATGCTGATATGACTATCCCATTCAATATGTTGGTAGCGTGCTTTTTTTTTGATTTCTTAAGCTAAGTATCATTTTTGAGTAATTGAGTTTTGCTAATTTTACTGAAACTTCTGACATCTACAAATACTTTATAGTATGATTCTTTCAAGAGTTTGACTATGATGCTGGTATCATGTCTTTCCTGCATCATATTTTTTTTCCTTATTTAAAAAGTGCTATTTATATATCTTGGTTCATGCTGTGAAGTATACTGTGAAACATCTAAAACTGGACTGCACACTAAACCATGATGGAGAGAGATGGTTTAGTTCACCGGGTCCAACTTTGGTCAATTGGTTGCACTGATAATATTGGTACCAAGTTCATATAACCTATTATAGCTGTATCATATATATTGGTGCCAATCACTGAACTAGTAATATAGATAAAACCCCTACCTTCCATGATCCCAAACAAAACACTCCCCTTTCTTTGTTTCCTTCTTTCTCTCCTTTTCTCTATCATTCTCTTTCCTCTTCCTTCTCCTCCTCTCATCACTGAATTAGTAACATATTAACATATATTTCGGTGAAAATCATCTGCCATTACATGATGATGGCCCCAGCTATTTGGGGTCTTGGGAGAGGTGAACTAGATATGAACTTAACCTCTGGCATGTTTTTACATGGAGTGACTGCTTTCTGACTAGAACCTGATTTACGTCTGAAGTGACACCTCTAATTTCATCCAATTCTTTCTTTTTATTTAATCCCATTTCATCATCATCTAAGCCCTGTCCCAACTACATGGGTTGGATACATGAATCTTGTTTCACCATTCCATTTTATTCAGTGACATATCCATAGTTAAAGTATAAGTAGTAAGACTTATCTTACTACTTTCTCTGGCACCTTGAATCCATAGTTAAAGTATAAGTAGTAAGACTTCAATCCATGTCCTTTTTGGTCTGCCCCTAGCTCTTCTGGCACCTTCAATTTACAATAGATCTCTTCTTACAAGTTCTGTAGATGGTCTTCTTTGCTAGAGTCTACTTTCTCTCATTTTATCACCTATTGGAGCTATTCGTAAGAATCTTTCTAGTTTTTCCATTCATCCATCTCAGCATTCACATTTTTGTCACATACAATTTTTGGACATGTTTCTTGGCTGCCCAGTGTTCAACGTTCTACTCCATACAACATTGCTGGCCTTACAACTGTTTTATAGAACTTTTCTTTTAGCCTAAGTGGTATTTTCCTATCACATAAGACTCCAGATGCACCATTCCATTTTGTCCATCATTTTCTAATTCTATGGACAACATCCTCCTCAATCTTTGCCTTGTTATGAATAATTGAATGAGGTAATGGAGGAGGTCACTTTGAGTTATCTCTTGGTGTCCAATCCCACTAAGTGTACTCTAATTTGCACTCCTGTTAATATTAAATTTGCATAACATATTTTTTTGTTTTAGTACTACTTATTTTAAAACCTTTTTGATGGAGGGAGATTTGACCCAACTCCTTGGCCATGCGACACGTGGAAGCAACCGAGAGTAACCTGGTAGAAGCGCCAACTCGGCACGGTAGCGGGCCCACAACCCGAGCTCTAAGAAAAAGAGTCCCGAGCTCCCCCAAAGGGGGAACCTACAACCCGAGCTCCGAGCTCCCCAAGGAGGAACCCGAGCTCTCCCTTCGAGGTCCTGAGCCTGAGCCTTACAAGGAGCACAAAAGGCAAAAAACTCGAACTGCCCACCCAGGGGCAGTTCGGGCCACACTTCTATCCGAACTCAAGACCACCTTGCACACCACTTCGGCTCCAAGTTGCCTGATTGAAAAACCGTACTTGACGCCCAGGAAGCCCGTACACGGAGGCGGTGCACCTGACTGATTAGGGGTCCGACACATGACAGTCGCCCGCTAACAGCCACCTGCCACCGCCATCTCAGACGTGGCAGAGACGGCCCTGACAAGGAACAGTGGAGGTTATGACACCCGAACTGGCAACTGGCAACTGGCAGAGGAAATGACACCCGATCCGGCGGAGGTAATGATACCCGAACTGGCAGAGGTATGGAAGTAAGTGTACAGGGTGATTATAAAAGACCCCCATCTCCCAAGGAAGGAGGTATGTGATTCTTGCGCTTTCTGGTCTTGAAGTTCTTCATTTCCCTTGCCTTCTCAAGAGCACTAACTTGAGCTTCGGAGTGTTCCAACCGGGTTCCTCCCCGGAAGTCTCCAAGTTCTTCCTTGTTTCAGGCACCTCCGATTCCATCAGAGGCGAGGTAACCGGTAGCTAGGATCGACCGGATTGCGCATCATCACTTTTGTTACTAAGTACTAACATATTTGTCCATTAATCTAATTTTGCATTTAATTGTTTGTTAGTTTCATCAGTTAAGACTGTATCATCAACAAACAACAAGCCCCATGGGACCTCCTTCTGAATCTGTTTAGTCAATTCATCCATTACTAGTGCAAATAAATAAAGACTAAATGCTAAGCCTTGGTGATAGGGGCATCAATTGGACTGGATTTGGTCCAATCCGATCCAGTCCAATGTGAGTCCATTACAATTGGACCAGGTCCAATCCAAATCAGTGAACATCTTGAACCATTTTGGACCAGTCCAATTCAATGTCTGGACCATCTAATCTGTTAAAATTTGTTTTAATTTAGATTAATTCTAACCCAAACCCGTTCCATTGACACCTATATTCTTATCTTCTATCAATGGACCAAATATTGGCTCAATCCAACCCAATTCAATATAAATTCATTACGGATGGATCAGGTCCAATCCAATCCAATAAATACTTTGGACCATTAACTCTGGACTGGTCCAATTCAATATGTCTTGTTGATATGTTCAATTCGTTTGGATGGGGTCCAATCCAAAACTGGTCCATTGACACCCCTACTTGGTGAAAACCTGTTATAACTGTAAAATCTGATGGTACTAACGTAGGCGTTCTAACATTGGTTGTTGCGTCCACCATCATACCCATTTGGAACTCCTTTCTTTTCCAAAACCCACCATATTTAATCCAATTTCTCTTGTTTTTATTCAATACTATATACATGGAAAATGACTAAATTATCTAAAAGAAGCCTGAATAAAGTAAAAACATGTGAAGATAAATGAAATCTTGAAATTGAGTTTTTTAATCATAGCTAATATTTTAAAAGGAAAGGCAGACCTAGTTTCACGGTCAAAGGCTCATTTTGTAAAGTGCTCCTCACTTCAACCCATGTACGCCTCTCACCTGGCTTGTTGCTATATTTGATAAATTGACCATGAATTTAATGTTGAAAAGGTAATTTAAAATATTATATTGTAGGCTGTACTATGATGTTTAGAATTTAAATAACTTAGTGAGTAAGAGTTGAACATACAAGGCCACAACCTTCATGTTAATAATATGATTTCTTATTAAATGAGCTAATAATCTTTTGAAATATTATAAGTTCTTCTTGGCTTTTACCCATTTATGTGCTTACCTTGTATCTAAGTCTCTAGGAACCCCTCACATTTTTAAAATCTAAATAGTTTAAACCTAAAGATTGAACTTTCTAAATTTATTAGGATTTCTTTGTTGTTAAGAATCTTAAGATAGGATTGTGATTTAGGATTTCAGAATTTGAATTGCAAGTAACAATCCAATAACTGATGTGTTTGCTACCCTTTTCCATTTAACAACTAATAAAATTCTTTGGTTATTGTTATCAAGTTTAAAGTTGAAACTTTGAGATCCCTACAAAAATTAGATGGCATATATTCTTTGAAAAGTAAATATGGTATTGATGGAAAACACAACGATATTATGATGTTAGTTAATATAATGTTGTTAAGAATATACTTATCTAAATGTTTAAACACTATTACATATATATACTATGTTTTAATTTATGAAGTTCATTTGTGTCTTGTTATTACTTATTTAAAGACCACTTATAAATTGCAAATGGAAAGATGTTGACTAATCAGATGAACTATTATCAATTCAGCTAAGTCTGAATTGTGGATGTGTGTCGTGTATATGGAAATGGCTATCATGTTCCAGTGTTTGCCTGTAATTTAGGTCTCATCTTTTCCATATACCTGGAGGGGGGGGAATCAGAAATCAGTGCATTGAAAGGAATTTGATGATAATGCCAAACCTCCAACTATAGAATGATTTAATCATTAGACAAGAACAATTAATTGAAATTGTTAAGAAGTAGTTTTTCCTTTTTCAAGTCAAAGAGCAAACCAAAGTTCTCTGAAGAATGGACTTGTAGGTGGATGTTCCAAAAGGTGTTGAATGTGCCTTTTTGAGGAGATTAATTCTGTCCATAAATTATTCTTCTAGGGAAACAGAAAAATAGCTATTGGTTAAACTTATGTAACCTAGGCAAGGGAAACAGAGTATACACCTGGGGTTTAACTAATTATAGTTCTTGAAAACATATCCAATCATTTTCCTTTCCTTTTTCTACCTTCTTTCCTTGTCTATATGACTTTTCTGCTTGTCCTATCATCTTTGTATCTTTCCTGTCATTTTGTCTTGAAAATAATTTGTTTCCGTTGGAAATTAATGGAATGGATTGTACCAATTGGTATCACCACTCTTTCTTTTGTTTTTAGTGGTACTAGCATGTTCATCTGAGTCCGTCTTTGATGCCCAGAACAAAATCATTTGCCGTCATTTGCTACAGTCAGTTGTCACGTAGATGCAATGGAATTCCTGGGAGTAGAAAAAAAAAGTAATGAGATACTTCATTATCTCAGATCTGAAGTTAATAAAATATTCATGGCAAGTATATTGTTCTTTTAAGTCTCGAGAAGAAAATATTACTTGAGCTTTAAAATTCTACGTCTTCTATTTTTACCTAGTCCTCTTTACCATATGGATTTTGTTGTTTTTCCAATCATCTCAATCACCTTTGTATTTTATAAGGCTTCCATTTATCAGAAAGCCCTTGAATGAGATTTTGAACCTATAATGTGGTAATATATTCACTTGAAAACTAACTTCATATATATTTCAATGTCTTATGGGATTTTATATGCTGATCAGTGGTCGTAACTCCTGAATTAATGGGTGTCTTCTTGCCAAGTTTTTTTTTTTCTGTTCATATCCATTGCAATGTATGGAGGGTCGCCCTTATCTTGCATGTAATGCTTTCTGGTTGTTGAAGGCGATGCTATCATATGAAGCAGTCATAAACTTGTGTTTGTGACTTTCATCTATATAATTGTGCAGGGAACCTCTGATGAAGTGGTCGACTGCTCTCATGGTAAGCAGCTTTGGGAACTGTGCAAGGAGAAGTACGAGCCGCTATGGCTCAAGGGAGGGAACCACTGTGACTTGGAGCTCTTTCCAGAGTATATTAAGCATCTAAAGAAGTTCATATCGACAGTTGAGAAATCACCACCTTCCCAGAGGAACAGTTCAAGGAAGAGCACAGACAGATTTGAACAATCCAGGCGAAGCACCGACTGTTTTGAGGCTTCAAGGAAGAGCACCGACAGGAGAGAGAAACCAAGGCAGAGCACTGACAAGCTTGAAAAACTGAAAAACCATGACTCTAAGTCTAACAATGTGAACAAGTTAGAAAAGTTAAAGATCTCATTTGATCAAATAGAGAGGTCTCGCAGAAGTGTAGACTGCCATGAGAAGTCTCGTAGGAGCATTGATCACCAGTTGCAGAGAGCACGGAAGAGTGTTGACCGGTTGGATAGAGTAAGGGCTGGGTAGATCTTGAACTGTTGTAAAATTCATGCATGAATTTGGTATTGTGGGAAAAAATATTTGGGCATTTTTATTTATGGTTTTAAGCTGTGTAGTTTGCTTGTGGAAGTTCCATAGTAACTATGGCATGAAATGAGGAAGGGTTTGCTGTTATTATGGGATTCATTCCCTTTGGTTCCTTCTCCGCTTTTATTTTATTTTTTGATATTTTATTAAATTTATAGAGGGTCCTCATAACTAGACCTGTTCATGGGTCGGGTGGCCCGACGGGCCGGCCCGGCCTGGCCCGACCCTCGGACGGGCTTGAACATGCTTATAGGCCCACGGGCTTAAATTCGGGCCAAAAAGCCAGGCCCGCAATAAATTCGAGCCGGGTTCGGGTTTTGTCAAAATAGCTCTGCCCAAGCCCGGCCCGACCCGATCTAATATTAAACTTAAAATTAGTTATGTGATTATGTCCATTTGAATAATTTTTTTGGTTTAAGAATGTAAAATTGTGTTTTAAAATATAAAAGAAAGGGGAAAATACCATCTTGTAGGCTCATTGTTTATTTAAATAGAAAAAAATACTATCTGAATTTTTAATTCTAATTTGAATAGGGAAGATTGTTTTTTTTTTCAATTAGGTCGGGCTTCAGGCTCGGGCTCGGGTTTCGGGCTTTTTATTAGGGCCGGGCTCGGGCTTAGAATATTTTCATTAGTGACAAGTGAAAACCCGGCCCGAGCCTGACCCGGCCCGGCCCATGAACAGGTCTACTCATAACCGAGATCGACTTCCATCAGGGCAAATCCATGCCCACACCGTTCCAATACCTATTGCAATCTTGCATTCGGAATATCTCTCCATAAAATAAAGTACATAATTACGGAGATATTCTTAATGTAAGGCAGTAAAGGCTGCTTGAATGGGCTTTGCCCCGACCGAAGCCAAACTCCTCATAACCTGGGATCTGTGTACACACATCTTACCATGGTGGTTCCTAGTTTTATGGTGGGCTCCAGACCTCCAGACTCCAGTTTCATGGTAAGATGCGTGAATAGTCACCTTAGATCGTCGAATGGGCTTTGCCTTGACCGAAGCCAAACTCCTCATAACCTGGGATCTGTTCACAACTAAATACTTTTCCAACAAGTTCCAACATGATCTGTGTACACACATCTTAGATCTTACCATGGTGGGCTCCAGTTTCATGGTAAGATGTGTGACAATCACCCTTGACCCATGTAGCGAGCGAGTTCAGATTGTCGTCCCACAGAACAAGTTCCACGTGGCACATGCACATCTCACTGCGCATTGGAAACATCTCCCATATTTGTCAAGGGGAGATGTTTCCAATACACAGTTGGGATGTGCTGTGTGATGTGCGCATGAGGCACACTCTATGGTGTGCCCATGTGAATTTGTACCGAGCTTACGGTGTTGGAGGTCCAAAATAACAACACATGGGGTTGGCTAGCATGGCCGTGTGATTACTAACATTCCCTCATGGAATGCTCATCCAATGAACCATGAAAAAAACCAATTACCAAAGGAATGGGCTTGGACCTCATCAGATCTCAAAGAAAGTGGTTTGTACAACCATATTTCCTTTAGGCTGTGTTTGGTTGCAGTGCAATTTTATTTAGTACAAATGAATGGGAGTGTAAATGAAAAGAATGCAAAATATGATTTAATTTTATTTTGGGTTTTAATTTATTTTACTTCATGTCTTATTTTATTTCATTTGTACTATAATCAAACAAAATAAGGTAAAAGTTGGAACAAAAATAAGGGCCTATTCGTTTGCACTAAATTTTGAATTATGAATGCCTCTCAAACTGTAATAATTACTTTTAGAGGTGTATTGGAGTTTGTGCACTTTCCTTGGCTCTAAAGTTTGAATATAGAGAATGTTGTTCTAAAATCTAAATATTGAGTTTTGAAAATTAGCAATTGACCATTTTAACCTTAGATAACAAAAAGCTTGTTTAATTATTTAACAAACTAATTAACAATTAATAAAATGAATATAAAAAATATAAATAGTGGAGTTGATAAAAATAATAAATAATTAAATATTTTTAAAAATTGAGTAATAATTAATATTTAAAATAAATAATTACACAAATATTAATTAATTAATTTTTTATAACTATTAATAATTATTTTATATTTAATTGCCTAATTATTTTAAGATACTAAGCAATAATAAGTAATATATTTAAAAATTATTTAATAATTTATTATTTAGTTAAGTAATTATGTAGTACATAATTATTAATTGTTATTTCATTAATTAATCGTTTAAATTAATTATAATTAATTAAATAACAATTAAAAATAATAATTAATTAATTACTTTCAAATTAAAATAATTATTTATTAATTAATTAATGATTAATAACTAATTTTTAATTAATTAAAATAATCAATTATTTTAATAACTAATTAATCATTAATTCATAATAATTTATTAAATATATAATTAAAATAATAAATTATTACTATATAATAAACAAAAAATACTTATTTTCAATTAAGTTTTATTATTAGTTAATTACTTTTTAATAAGTAATATTAAAGTTTTAATTAATTAATTAGTTTTTAATTAAATAATTATTTTTGAATAGTTAATTATTGATTATTAATTAATTTTTAGTAATTAGTAAACATATTAAATTGTTAAATAATTTAATGGCTAATAAAATAAAATTATAAGATAATAAAATAATATATAGATAATTAATAATAGTAATTTTTAATTATTATTATTATTATTATATAGGTTTTTCAAATTGTAGTATATGTGAAAGGAAGAATCTTTTGAGGGTAATACTTCCCTTACCGTTTGAAAATTGATTAAAGCTACCCCTACTGTTTCTAACAATTGACTAATATTCTTTTACCGTTAGCATCCATTATTCTTCCGTCAAAACCAGTATATATGCACGTGAAACCATGTGGTGTTTAAAATTCTTTTGAAATCCAATATTACCCCTCCCTCGTCCTCCGGGTTCAGCTTTATTCAGATAAAATCCATGATTTTCTTTTTCAATATCGTACATCTCTTCTTCTCCTTTCAATTTCCTCTTGAACCCAGCCATACATCTTTAGATGGAGAGGGGGTGTTCGCCGTTAAATCTCCACCTCGACCTCCGGAGTATGACACTGTTTCAAGTGCAGTATTGGGCTCCATTGAAACGCAGTCACTGTTTCAAACGCAGTATAGGATTCCTATTGCTTCTTTTTCACCAACGGCACAGATGGAATTGCCTTGAAACAGTGTCGCTTGATACTGTCTGTTTCAAGGCCAACGCTGGTGAATTCAGTTGCACCTTTCAAAACGGAAGCTCAAGAAAGTGCAACACGAGATCTAACCTGTTGAATAGATTATGCTTCCATGGTTGCTTGTTCATGAATTGGGAGTTGGGACCTCCTTCAGAATATCCTACCCATCTTTCCATGAGCAGCAAATACAGAAGGAAGGAGCGAGAGAGGAAAGATAGAAAGAACCAAAACGTACTGAAACTATTTATTCTTACAATCATCCAAAGAAACCCAACTTCCAAAATTATCTTCTAAACCTTCCTGAACAGTCTACAATAAGTAAACAGATTCGCATCGCAAAAAGAAATTGATCAAAACAGGCCACTGTTTCTTGGAAACTATCGGCACAATAAGTATATCGACGAATTGACAGAGGACTAAACCGAGACCAAGATAGAGGTTACAAAGCCTATTTGTTCACACGCGGCCAGCGCTCATTCATTGCTTGTGGGGTGTTCCACACGAACTCAACGAGTTACAGAGTTACCACAACGCTGTGGGTGTTCCGCGTGAAAGAAAGTGGGCGCCGCTCTATAACCTCCATGTTGTGGGGTGTTTCACACGAGCTCCTAAGGTTATAGAGCAAAATCAATGAACTGGTCCATACAGTTTTTCATTAAATCCGCACAGTTAACAAGCCTACCTTCCCACGGTCACCCACTTCAATCGTCCTCTCTTGGAGCATCATCAAAAGTCATGCTTTCAAGCCTTCATCGCAGACCTCCCCCTCCGCCTCTAGTCTCTCTCCTTTCTCCGTTCTCAAACCTCCCCCTCCAACTCTGTCTCTCTTCAGTCTCTCTCTCAACCTCTGCTCTCCGGTCTCTCTCAACCTCCGTTCTCAGACCTCCCTCTCCGCTCTCCGGTCTTTCAGTAAACTATACTGTAATTTTAGTTTTGATTGGGCTTCATTGAAACGCAATATGGGATTTCTGTTGCATATTTAAGTTGTTTTATTTCGAATTGAAGAAGAATAAAGGATAAAATAGCCATTTTTGTCGATGCTAACGATATGGGAAGTATTAGTCAATTGTCAGAAATGATAAGAAATGGTTAGGACAGTGTTAGTCAATTTTCAAACTGCACTTAATCAATTAGTATAAGGATAGTTTAAGAAATTTATTCAAAGTAAAATTAATAGAAAACAAGAACTGATATGACATTTACAACTGAAGTGAGAAATGAAACCAACACTCTTATTGGCTTTTCAGCATTCAGCATTGAGAGTCGTCAAACAGACCCTAAATCAAAATTTGCACTCAAATCATTTGCACCACTAATATTTTGTATTAATATAAATAAATTTGCACTGCAATCAAACGCAGCCTAAAGAATTCTATGCACTAACACTAAGCACAACATCTTCGGCACATGATATATGATTGTTCCTCCTAGTGGTAATGGGCCAACCTCAGCCCGTATCCTTTGGATCCCAAGAGAGCGTGGAATCCTTTGGCCGGATCTGATCGAATAATCCCCATTCCTTGTAAGTTGTAAACTTCGAAATCAGGTCATCCAGCTGGCTCATACGGATGTCCAACACTACCCGGGTTCCCCTGGGGCAGTGGGGCGGGGTGAACAATTGGCTTAATAGATCACTGTTTCATTCCGTCTCCTGCCTTTGGAATAGGAGTTACGACTTACGACTATTAATCTAGTCGAAACGTGGGTTGTCTTAGAAGTTCACAATCTCGCTCTCAATTTCAACGGAAAATCTATATCATTGAGGGCGAACCAAAATTAGTTATTAACAGTTTGAAGAAATAAGTGGACTCTCCATAGAGAATGAGAAGGATCGTTGAAGGCTGTAAGTCTTTGATCAAGAGGATGGGCAGCGATGTTGAATACAGGCACACCTATCAGGAAGGGAATCAGGTTGCTGATTGGCTTGTTAATTGTGCTCATACCAACCTTTCTTCTCTTGCTTCTTTGCCTTTCTCCTTAAAATGTATTTTCTTATGCTGACATTTGGGGATGTGCTACCCCCCGCTGTGTGTAGCCCCTTCTTTTTTGTTATTGATTTATTGTTTTTTTTTATTAAAAAAAAGCATATCTGCTAAGTTTTATCTATATTACCTATAAAAGAGTGAATGTCCCTTTTTTTTTTTGAATTTTCATTAGACATTTTTTACCTTTTATCTAAGCAGCATACAACGGGCATAAAAGAGGACATATACGTCCTTTACTCTCACTCTAAAAACTATTCACTTATAACAATTAAGAAATTGCCCACTTACAACTGTTCAAAAACTGCCCATGAATTGTAAATAATTTTGTCTTGGAGATACTGTCACGTGCAAATATATGTACATGTTTACTAGTACCTCTTAAGTCTTTCTCTCTCTCTCTCTTCCATTTTCTCGCTAACTAGTTTTCTCTCCTCCTCTGCTGCCTGTGAGTAGGTTAACCACTGAACCTGTTTGTTAGTAACTTTTCCCCTCCTTTTGTTTGTTCAGTTGTTTTCTCCTTCCTCTTATCACTCTCCCATTTCATTTCTTTTTCTTTTTTAATTCCTCTCATCCCCTTGCTGCCGTTGTAATTAAACCAGAAACCGCAAGACACTTTATCCAATCTCTATTCAACCACGGCTCTTCAACCCAATCCGAAGCACCCCTATGCAAGCTTGAACCAATATCTCTGTTGTTGGTTCTCTATCACCATTGGCAGCTCCATCAAATGTGCTATTGAACATCACCCCTTTTCCAAATGTTGGAGACCCCTTTTAACCAGAGCATTTAATCGCTTGCAATAGGAAGACCACGAATAGTGTTGAATACCCCTGGATTTTACAACTTTATAAAAGGACATCAGTGGGAAATAAATCGTGTCTGCTATCTCAAAATGTGCTCAAATATGCAGCCGAACAAATTTAGGGTGGAATTAAGCCGAGTCAAGCCGAATACTTAGTTATTCGAGCTTATCTTGCTAAAACTATGTTAGGCTTGAATTCGAGCTTGAGTTCAATTAGAGATAGAGACTTCAGCTCGAGCTTGGATCGGTTCAAAGCTCACAAGTTCGAGCTTGATTGCAAGTCAAGTTTTTTTCTAAAAAATAAAATTATACATATAAAAATATTTTTATTTTACATACAAAAAATTAAGAATTATAAAAATTATTTACTATTATACATAAAAAATAAAAGTATTATATATAATAAAAATTATTTATTATATATTTATATGTATATGTATATGTATGTTATATATAATAAAAAATATATATTTATTATACTAGGATCATGAGCCTCACAAGCCGAATTTCACTAGGCTTGAGCTCGGCTCGTTTAGCAAATGAGACCAAGCCAATCCGAACTTGAATAATTCATGAGAAACTCGGCTCATGACCACCCCCTTCGAACAACCACCACCCATCACTTAAAAAACAATATTTTGTTGGTAGGGGTTGGAACATATTATGTTGGTAGGTGATCTAGACTCAAATTTGACTGCCAAGTGCCAACATCTTCTTCCTTCCGCTGTTATGAACGTTTTTGGGCATGCACGTCGAAAACCAAGGCCTACCTCCGCATCGAACATAATACATTATCTCATGCATGATGGATTGAAGGGTTTCAGCCTTGTGTGGATACAGATGACGTTGGAACCGTGTTGTGACAGATTTTATTGGCAGCACAACCCAATTCATCACCATTCCACATTTTGATTCCCCAATCCTAAGCTATGCACGTGCATGATGAATTGAAGTAATGAGTCATATCAATTGTTTTCACTGGATTTGGATTTCTCTTTCGCATAATCGCATACATGCAAGCCCATTGATACTGTTGTTGCGTAGGCCCAATGATTCAGTGAACAGCACCTGATCATCAGGTGGATTGAATTTTTGGCCCAAACGATGTGGGTTTATGTTGGATTAGTGGTAACCTTAACCTTAGCCCTCGTCCACCAGAGAAAACTTGTATCAAAGTGCCAAATGATAATTACTTCCTTCTTCAACGTTCATTAATCTGGATTTCAATTTACAAATGAGAAATTATCTAAAACCCATCATCACTTTTTACGAATACTCTTAAACTTTAATTTTTTAAAATGTCCAAAACTTATTATGTAAGGGACATTTTATTTTCCAAAATTCACCATCCATTAAAACACTCTTAAAGTTCATTGACCCAAATTGTCCACGTCACCCTAAATGCAAGTTTCATAACCAAACTACCCCTGAATTGTGAGTTAGCTGGTTAACGCTCACCGAGAGTCTTTCTTACTCTCAATGTCCCAGAGTGTTCTTGCTCTCAACGTCCAAGGAACCTCTAACCAGGTATTTCACCTTCATTTTTTTTTTTTTCATTTTTGCTTAATTAGGGCACTCGAAGAAATCGGATTTTACTGCACTCATTATTACTTGGAGAATCTGATGCACTCGTTTTCAGACTTCTCATGAGACCATAACTTTATCTGTACCTCAATCCATGGCTGTGAACACAATGAGTAAATAGATTTTTTTAGACTTCAGAGTAAATAGCTATTTTCAGACTTCTCACGAGGCCATAAATTTCTATCTTTGAAAGGTATCCTAAGATGGACTTCCATTCTGACTGTTCTTCTTCTTAAACGAAGGGAGAAGCAGTGACAATGGTGAGAAGTTGCAGCAATGGGTTCTCTCTTTCATTTAGACAAGGTTTTGGGTTGAATGACGAGGGTGTGTTCTTGGTTCCGTTCGGATTGCTCTTCTTCTCAGACAATGGGAGAAGCAGCAGCAATGGGATTTCACGTTCTCAAACGGAGAAGAAGCAGCAGCAAATGCTGGTTTTCTCTTTCGCAAATGGTTCTAGTCCTCTTCGTCCTGATTGGCATTATCTTAGCCAACATTTTAGTTTCTTTTCTTCCTTTACTGAAATAAAATGGGACTAGATTCTTCGGTTACTCTATCACGAAAATGTAAAAGTTCAAATTCCCTCCTTTGTCTGCAATGGCTTAGAGGTAACCCAGGAAAGAAAGAAAGAACATAGAGACTTTGAACTCTTTGAAGTCCACTTCCCAGCAATCTATTCTGGAGCCGAAGAAAGCCATTTCTGGTCTACCAAGTCAGAAGACGAAGTAGTGATGGAAGCCTCTAAACCCAGCATCAGAAAATCATTCCACAACTGCAAGAAATTCAGATTCATCTATCCGACAACCAATAGAACAAAACCCCTATGATCGGTTCATATCTACTTCAAGAAAAGTCATCTATTTGTCTTCAGGTGGTCTTACATGTTACCAATGACGGAAGACCGAAAGCAAATATCTCATATCTCACAAATACAACCAAAATGTCAGTAACCAAATCACAGCAGGGATCTCTTTAACCATGAATTCAGAGGAATAAATGACCAATCTTTTATGAAAATAATAGTAAAAAAATCAAAGCAACATTTCTCTCTATCCTTCTTTTTCTATAAGAACGCTGTGAAGAAGAAGAGGAAGGAGAGCAAGAAAAGGAGAGAAAATAAAACGAATGGCCAGCAAATGGATCACAGACCCAGGAAGAATTGAATGGGAGTTGCAACATTCTCCTACGCCATTAGCGAGCAAGAGAGCAAGCGTACAGGAGAACAAAGAGGAATAATTTCAGGATATTGCAAAATGGGTCAAACATAAGAAAGTGTAAAATAGTAAATTAGCGACATCCCTTAGTCAAATTACCGTTATCTCACTACTTGGTGAATTTTGGACGTTTCAAAAAATTAAGATAACTAAAAGAGAGTTCACATTTGTGCCCCACAAGGGGCACCCCACGACGTCCTACAACACATCCTCGCCGTGTATTTTGGAAACAGATGATAGTGAGACATTGTGGGGCCCACTTGTGGGGTGCAGATCTAAACTCAGTATAAGAGAATTCCTCAAAAGTGATTGTGGGGCTCAATTCATTACGCAAACGCAACTTATCTTTCTATTAAAAAGAATAGAAGATGTGAAGGTGAAAGTGGAAATTAAAGAACACGACACGGCCCACCTCCGCGATGCTCGAACTCGAAGACTCACGGTCCCACCCACACCGATCATCGTCGAGTAGTAATACGTAGATTCTAGTTCGACAGTTTCCAGAGGGAAGTCATCAGTGGCCAGACGCATGGAATTGTGACTCAAGTTTTGTATTGCTTCTCTTTTTCTCTCTCTCAGAAAGGGATTTTAGAGTCCGGATCTCCTTCCCTCAAAAATGAGGCCCCTCTCGCACTCCGATTCAGTTCGTAATCTTATTATTTTCTCCCGAGTCTCCGATAAAGTAAAAGATTCATAGAGAGAGAATGAAACGAACGTGAACTTCAAAATCAAATTCGATCAACATGTAATAATGAACTCCGACGATCCAACAGTCGAGTCGATCGTTTGATACTCTTTAATAATTCGAGTTTCTGATATTCTTGTTGCTCCCGGAAACGAGCCATCAAGGAATAATAGGATTGCTTTTGGTTGAAATTTTAGGTCTCCGGATGAAATCGCTAAAGAAGCTATAAAGCACGCTGTAAAGGCGCTCCGGAAGAGGCATTTGCTCGAAGAAGGTGCTCATGCTCCGGCTATCATCGCTCTTTCGAAGCCTTTTGCTTCTCAGGTTTCTCCTTTTTTTTTCCATTGATCAATTATTTCTTCTTCCTTTTTAAGCTTTTAGATTGATGGTGTTATTAGGTCCGAATGGTGAGGTGCAAGAGTCTCCTCACCTCTGATACAAAAAAAAAAAAAAAAACTCCTCATCTTGTCATAGTCTGAGATTATTCTTCATATTTCCAGCCAACTGGTACTGTATGTGCTAAATTGCTAACTGTACTGAGATAGCGAGATCCCGCTAACGAAAGAATATGTAGATTCAGCCAACGGCAAAATGAAAGGCGTTTATTCTGCAGAAAAAGAAAAATAAAATGCATGCCTTCGGACTTCTGACATGTTGGAAGACTGAAAGAAATAGCTCCCTTCGCACCCTATCACCAACTACCTCGCATGATTTCAATTAATTCTCGCCTCACACTGACCTTCTGCCTTCCTTAAATAAGATCCAAGTTTCTATATCAGTCTCCCGTTCTTCTCGAACAGGATTCAAGAAGTCGGGGTTACGGGATATGCTAGTCACTCAAAAGGTAGACCCTTTGGTGTTTAGGTTCCATTGCAACACCAGTAGGGGTTGTATAGGGTGCAGGTGTTTGGTGTTATTATGTTACTAAGTGATAGGAGAAATAGGAAATCTTTTCAAGCTGCATTATTAAGGGTTACATTAGAAAAATACTTATTGGTTGCATATTCATACTCCTTATTAGTATTGGTTGGCTCCGGTGGACTCAATTTGCATCTTAAGGCTGTTAATCACAAGAATAATGCTTCTTTCATGTTTTCTTTATGTCATATAAATTAATTTTTTCTGTTTGACTCTCTTTTATCTCATAATATTTAATTATATGCATGTCCTTCTAGGGATCAGAATGGAAAGAGAAGGCAGAAAACTTGGAACTAGAACTTCAGCAATGCTATAAAGCTCAAGCAAGATTGTCTGAGCAACTTGTGGTAGAAGTGGCAGAGAGCAGAACCTCAAAAGCACTGGTTCTAGAGAAAGAAGCAGTTATCGCTGATCTGCAAAATGAGGTTGCTCAAGCAAGGTTGAATTTGTTCTTAAATTTCTTGCTAAGGTGGAAATGCTTTTCAAATTTCCAGATATTGTCTGAATAAATGGAACTTTGCAATATTGCAGGGATGAATGTTACCAATTAAAGGAGACCTTAGAAGAAAAAACAAAAACTCTAGACTTGGTTGTAAGTGAAAATCAGGCACTTAGAACACAATTAGAGGAGATCACACTGAAAGCTAAAAATGCAGAGGCTGAAAACAAGATGTTAGTTGATCGCTGGATGTTGCAAAAAATGCAGGATGCTGAACGCCTTAATGAGGTATTTCTACCAATGGTTGGAATCTTATTTCAGTATGTTTTTGTTGCATGTATTAGCTTCCAGGTCACTTCAGTTTTACAAAGCCAGAATTGGGATACACCTAACAATGGCCATAAAAATGGTAAAAATCCTAAGTCAACAGTCTATTTTAGTGTGTCAGGATATGATACTCAGATACCTATACATGCATGCTTAGTGTACCAATGTTGGGTAAGATATGCACTTGATATGACACTGTGTACTGCGTAATCAATCTAGAGTCATCATCATCATCCAAGTGTTATCCCAATTATTTGGGTTTGGCTACATGAATCCTTTTCTGCCATTTCATTCTGTTTAATGCCATATCCATTGTTAAATTATGAGCACTTAAATCATTTCTTACCACCTTGACCCATGCCCTTTTTGGTCTCCCGCTAGCCCTCCTAGCCCCTTCAACTTGTGATAGATCACTTCTTATGGGTACTGTAGGTGGTGTTCCATGTATGTGACCAAACCATCTTAGTCTACTTCCTCTCATTTTATCACTAGGGCCACTTGTAGGTTCCTTCAAACGACTCCATTTCTGAATTCTGACCCCATCTTTTCTCTCAATTCATCTTTCATAATCATAAAATGTGATGCATAGTCATTCTAGAGTGTATAATATTAACAGCTTTAAAATATGTAAATTGGAATATTTTAACAAATCATACTGTGACAGGTATATATTAGAAGTTTAATTGAACTTTTTCTAAGGAGAAGTTTAATTTATCTTTGCAAAATATTAACATTGATAAATGAAAAAAAAAGATATAGAATCATGGGCATGATATAAACATATAAATGGGTAACCTGTCAAGTATCTTTGTTTCGGATCCTTATGTCTGTGATCTTAGGAAACTGATATTTCTACCCTAGCTTCCCATATCTCTGTCCCTTTTCAGTATCTGTACATGGGCAATCATAGGTTTCAACACACAGCAAATGTCGCATATGTACTGATCATTCATTCTATTAACCATGTCGTAGGTTTATCATCATTGTTTCTTTTTTTTTTCCCTTTTTCAACGTAAGAATTGTTATAAGTGAATTATTTTCTTTGGTTGTTAAGATGATTACATATGATACCTCTGTGCCCTATGTTGTGGTTATTAGATTGTTAAGATAATTTTTTGATCTATAACTGTAAACAAATTTATTGATAAAGGATGAAGTAACATACAAAGAAATAGATGGAGGTTATTCTGTATAGCTAGCCCAGTGTTTCTTCCCCAAGATACCCTTACAGGCCTTGAAAGATACCCTTCTAATCAAGATACATTTTCATATCTTACCTATGATATGTGGGATACTTCTTATAGATTTGTGGTGTCTCTGGACACTTTCTTGATGACATATCAACACACATCAGACACATGGTTTGAAATGAGTAGGCTTGCCTACCTTTTACTTGGTTGTGAAATAAAACATGGATAAGGGTGTATTGTTTGCAATTCAAATGCATCCATCTACATTTGTTCTTTTCTTAAATTTTTTTGAAGATAATTCTTTTCTTAAATTTTGTATAATACAAAGTGAACTAGTGCATGTAAGTGCACTATATGTATATGTATAGCTGTGTTCACATTTCTACATTTTTGTGGGTTTCCATGTCAAACACCCATTTCTATGTCCACAGATCAATAGATTTTAAGGCTTAGTTTGGAAAGAATACAAATACAAATATGTACAGTACAAATACATAAAAATAATACAAAATACAAGGTTTTGCACTCTACATATTTGCATTTGTACTCTTTCCAAACTGAGCCTAAATAACAATAAAATGTCAAGTGCGAAGGTTTCCTGCCAATATGATGTATGGAACTGCATGATTATGTGCCTTTGATGATTGTCTGGATAACTTATGAACCCCTGCAGGATTTCACTATTCTCAATGCAATGATAAAACAACCAAAAAAGTGCAAAAGCTTTTCTTTTGGGTCACTGAATTAGGTTTCTTTTCTACATTCTTAATTCTGAGTGCAGCTGAGAATGTATTGTGGTAAGACAAGTACTTAAAATTACCCCTTTGGCTTGCAGCACCCCTCATTGGATTCCATTTTGCTTGTAACAGGTAACTGGAATGCAAGGCATCTATTAATTACTTAGTTATGTAACGAGACAGGTTCTTACTTTCAAAGGGGATAAGGGGTTGGCTATCACTCAATATGGAAAAATTGTATGATGCCTGCATAATAAACATTCTGTTAGGAGTGAAACTTACTTTGTTTATTTATGTAGTGAGAACATTGGGAACAATGTATTTCCTTCTAACAATCCAGAAAGGTCAGATGTTAACACGATAGTACAGAAATCACATTCATTTTTATCTTTCTGAACTGTGTCACTATCATTCTCCTTACAGTGTGTTGTCATTGCTACTGCTATTGTTGTTGTTGTTGCTGCTGTTGTTGTTACTGGCTTACTGCTACTATGATGCTATATAGTTGTTCATGTTAGAGAGAACATGCATTACATTTGTCTGTCTCGGCTTTCCTAAAAGAAATTTCTAGAAATATGTATTTGATTATAAACTGGTATTCATGTAGGCTAATGCAATTTATGAAGATATGATGGGTCGACTCAAGGCCAGCAGCATAGAACAACTTGCTCGGCAGCAAGTTGATGGTGTAGTCCGCCAATATGAAGCAGGTGCTGAGAACTTTGTAGAATCAACTGTTCCTACTAAATGCAAATACAGGATTCATGCACATGAAGGTGGCTGTGGTTCAATAATGTTTGAACACAATTCCGATAAATTAATTACTGGGGGCCATGACCGCACAATAAAAATGTGGGATACAAAAACTGGAGTAGTAAGCTGTACTCTTCAGGGATGCCTTGGCACTGTTCTTGATCTTAGTCTTACCCATGATAACAGATCTATTATCGCAGCCAGCAGCTCAAACAACTTGTACATGTGGGATGTGACGACTGGTCGGATCCGTCATACCCTTACAGGACACACAGATAAAGTATGTGCTGTGGATGTGAGCAAAATTTCAAGCCGCCGTGCAGTGAGTGCTGCTTATGATCGAACAATAAAAACTTGGGATCTACAGAAAGGTTATTGTGTCAACACACTCATCTGTCATAGCAACTGCAATGCTCTTTGTTTCAGCTTGGATGGACAGACAATTTGTTCAGGTCATGTTGATGGAAACCTTCGCATATGGGATCTTCAGACAGGGAGGCTTCTTAGTGAAATTGCTGCGCATTCACAAGCTATCACATCAATCTGTCCATCTCAAAGTGGCAATGTTGTGTTGACGAGTGGAAGAGACAACTTGCATAATCTATTTGACATGAGGTCTCTGGAAGTTTGTGGTACATTAAGAGCAAATGAAAACAGAGTGGCATCCAATTGGAGCCGTTCGTGTATGAGTGGAGATGACAATTATGTTGCAGCAGGATCTGCTGATGGGTCTATTTGCATTTGGTCACGATCAAGAACCGATACTGTTTGCACTCTAAGGGAACATACTGCTCCTGTCCTTTCTTGTTCATGGAGTGAACTGGGACAACCCCTGGCTTCCGCTGATAAAAGTGGAAATATTTGTATATGGGCGTGATTAGTCATGTCTGTACTGATTTTGCATTTCTTCATCATGTATTGGCCTCAGAATCATACCCCTAGTCTTACCACATACATTGTAAGCCACTATTAAATATTTTGGCGCAACTAGCTTGTACATAGAGATGCAGTGATGAGTTTCATAGTCATCTTTATATGGGGTTTGGGGGATGGGCTACCCCCGTTGTGTTGCGCCATGGAACCAAAAATAAAGAACGGGAAGTACCAGATATTCATTTTGAACAGTTAATCAAAGAGGTCCAATGGTCTAAACATCATTGCCTACTTATAGTGCGAAAAACATGGGCAAGGGCAGTTACTGCTTAATTGTATGAGTTATAGGTCTCGGTTCTCGCCATGATGAATGAAATGAGCCTGGATTTCTGAACTTGAATGCTTGTGTTTGATTCATGGCCAGTTTAGTGCATCTCTAGGGCTCTTTCCTTCATTTTTCTTTTACACTTTTTACTCTTTATTTTTCTATAGCTTGGAATTCTACGAGTCCATGGCGTGGTATGACTTCTTTATGCCTGTTTCAAGATAAAGCTGATGATGGGTTTACTACTGAAGTGGTTTGTGCCTTGTGGTTTAATGAGCTCCTCCAAAGAAGATGGCCTGATCCCGGCATCCGTAGCCCTCAGAATACAGCCCATTGCCGCGGTGAAAAGATTTCAAGCTAATGTATTTTGTTGATATCAATGCTGGTATCGGTGCACTGCATCCATCTCGTAATAGTTTGTAACATGGTTTATGGTTTTTGAACTGCCATCAGGGTACCCCAAACCGTTCTTTTGCCTAAAACCATTGAATTGGTCAGTGACTTGCTGACCTGGATGGTCGAACCCTCGACTCGGACAATCATTTGGACTGTTTATTATTTTAACTTTTTGTTTTTAAATTGTCATAGGCCCCGCCAATCTGTTTGGCTTGGTTTTAAAACATTGGTTTGTAATATATATTCCATGCAATTTTTGTAAGATATTGGCAGCATGAAAATGAACTGAATTAGACAAACTTAAAAGGAAAAAAAAAATTAAATATAACTTTCTTAAACAAATGTCAATAGCTTGAAAAATGAAGTTCAACAACCACTTTATTAAGATGTTGGTGAGAAAAAAAAAAAAAACCCTCAAATTTGAACAAGGTATAATAGAGCATTTAAATGGTTATGGGAGTATGCACTCCTTGATTGGTGTAATAAGTTCCAACTTTAAGATGCAAACCCTTTGGCTCGGGCCTTACCCAACTTATCAATCGAAGCCTAATCTGAGCTTAACCCAATACAATTTGGATTGATTTGGGCTAGGTTGGATTGGGCCGAGTAAGGCTTGGGTGGGTTGGTTGGGTCCAATCTATGCAAAAGCTCAGATGGATCGGGGTGGGTTCAGGTTGAGCCTCCCAAGTTAGAGCCCTAGTTGTCTGGTTTATGTCTGCTGAAGTTACCAGACAAAGGCAGTTTAAGTCAAATTTGAAAAAATAGGAGAGGCAAAGTGCCAACCAGCTGGTTGTAGCAGAGACTTAAGATTGAATCCCACCTACATCTGGATTCAGAAGATAAAAAAAAAAAAGGAAAAACCTTAGAAGAGGATTAAATCCTTAATTAAAATCACATTCAACTGATAGACATAAGACATGTAATCCTTAATTTAAATCACATTCAACTGATAAACATAAGACATGTAATCAAGTTGAATCTCTGTTACCCTAGTTTAAATCCTCAATTTTAGAAACGCTTGCATCATAAATTCAAGAATTGATTTTTGATTTTGATTCTAATGTGTCTATTTTATTGGGTTGCAAGAAAGTGCTGCTACTTCTACCTTCGTTTAGTCCGATTAGGTCCTTGACATGTATACGGGTTCAAATGGACAAAATTGAATCAAATATTAAGTTTGATTCGTTTTATATAAATACTTGAATCAGAACCTATCTATTGCATTCATTTAAATCGTATTTGAGTCAAATTGGGATTAAAATCGGATATTCCATAATTATTTCTTATTACTTTTACCCACAATGGATATTGAATTTTAAAAAATAGGACTGGACTATAATACCGAAAAACTTATAAACCAATGAACCGATGTCATAAAAGATTGATTAATCAGGTGGTATTAATCAAAATTTATGGAGTGTTTTGATTGGTTGAAACTCTTTCAGTTTCTTGTCTTTTCAGTATCATGGATTTTACTAATAAATTAAATTAAAAATGATTTCCATTATTGTATTTTCATGATCCAAAATGAATTGAAAATGACAATTTTTAGTAAAAACACAATATTCAAACAACTAAAAAAATAGTGATAGATACAACCGTACATTATATAAATTTTAAATATGCATATACGTTTGACAAACCGAATGTATAGGGCCTAGGGCTAGGGGTGGGTGAATTCGTATTGGGTCATCGATTCGGGTAACGGGATCGAATTCGAATTCAAATTCAAATTCGGACAAAGGGATACGGTTTGCAGGCCGTTCGTTTCGCTAATCGCTAGCAATGGTCTTGATTAGATAGGACATAGGACTTAGGAGTAGGACAGTACACTTCACAGGTCGACGAGATTCATTAAAAGAGCCGCTTCTTTCTAAGTTCGGAGAGAAGAAAAACAAGAAGGTAGACGAAGAAGACTAGGGAGGAGAGAAGACGAAGATGGTGAGAGTTGCAACATACTTCGCGATGACATTGGGTGCCTTCATATTCTGGCAATCAATGGATAAAGTCCACGTATGGATTGCTCTCCATCAGGACGAGAAGGTTCTCTCTCTCTCTCCCTCTTAAAAATTTTATATTTTTAATTCGTTTCATTTCCTCTCCTGAACTCTACGCTGTTAGTGCTCTGTCATTTTAATCTATGGGCTTAATATGAAATTCGATTTCAGTAGTTCCAATTTTAATCCTTGCCGTCGTAGTCGATCTTAGGGGTCCTGGAAACTACTCGGTAGTGTTCCCTCGAGTTAAATCCTAGATTATATTCTTTCTCCCTTTTTGTTTCGGAGTTATTCGAAATTTGGTCTTCTGTGGTGCATCTGGTGTGAGTTGAAAGTTGACTTGTGTAAGTATAGATTGATTTTAGATCCCTATTCGAATATTTTCGAAGACTGATTTGGTTAGTTCTTATGACTAGGGTTTCTTTTTTTTTTTTTCCTTTTTGGGGAAATTTGCAATTGGACCAATTCCGATATAATCAAACTAATGGGTGACCATACTTGCGATGGATAAAGTCCTCAACATTGAATTTCCTAGATTTCGTTTTGGCACCAATTGAAATTAAAGCAAGTCAATTTTACACATCAATAGGTAATTTCCTATTTCTATTGGTTCCAGTAAATTGGTATACTTGGTATAACTAGGTTATCCAAAAACTAAATAAATAAATAAAAGAAAAAACTCTTCCAAAGTTTGGTACATTCGTTCTGATCTCAAGCCCAAATAATGTTTCTTAGTTAGATATTGAATTAAAAGCAGTTCCAAATGTAAAATCTGAAACCTTCAATAGAAAGATGTTGAAAAAGTTCATGGTAGCAAAGATGATATAGTGCCATTTTCGTTAAACTGTGTAAAATTCTTCATTTGGTTATGGTGCTATTTTCGTAAATAGGTAAAATCCTTCATTTGGGAAGATCATGCATGTAAGTTTTCCCATATAGTAGGAGTATTTAAAGGTGATGGAATTATTTGCAGCAGTACTCAGACCCAAAATATTATGAATTTGGGAGGGAAAGACCAAGTATTTAGAAGTTGTGGAACTCAATAATCAATGTTGAAAGAATAGACAGACTCCTCCGTTTGTATAGGCTTCTAGACCAATATCTTAAAAACTGAAGTGCTTCTAGGTCTAGGTAGAGCAATAGAAATCTACTTTGAGGCTTATCCCTCAAACATGAAGTACTAAGGTGTGATCTGTGGTCAAGGCACAAGCTTCATTGCAGCTATGGTGCTTTTTTTTTTCTTTTTTGGAGGGGGGGGGAGGGTAAAAAAAACTTTTGTTCTTCCCAGTTGCACTTATAGACTAAAATATGTTGTAAGGCAGTTGTTTCAGGAAAATATTAACTTTTAGATGTTTGGTTGTCAGTAAAATACTAAGGGAAGCAAAGATATCCAAAAGTAGAGTAAAAATGGAGTAAAATGACTGGCTACCTTTCTGTAAGCAAGTCTTTTTCTATGGACTCTTGGATGAGATCATGGGTTTTACTTCTAAGACTTTTACCCCATAATTTTCTCCTTTAATCCAGTAATCCAGTCCACGACCCAATTTCCCAGGTTTGTATTAAAACTATTAAATTTGATAAGGTGGTATTTTTTAAAGTATTATAGTTTTTTTTTCCCTTGCCAAGTTTTTTACATGTCAACCTATTTGTCTAGCATCCAAATACAACCTTCTTCATTTTATTTGCTTGCTTGGATTCAGAAAGCATATAAGCAATGTATTACTTGTGTCATTGCAACAAGCATATAGTGAATACCTACTAGAGAAACACAATTCATTGTTCCTCTTATTTGGGATATTTTCTTGAAATACCGTTTAAGAAACTTTCCTCTTTAAATATCTCAACTAATCTTTATTGGTAGTCTAGTTGATGATGCTAGCACCAAATAATATGACGAGTTGACTACTACTGTGTTGTTCCATGATAGATAGGATCTAACACTGAAGTATGGAGTATAGCTCAAAAGGAGACCAGCTTTAGGTGTTCATAGGCTTGATGAATCCACAAAAAAAAAAAAAAAAAAAAAAACATGTTATGTTTTATCAGACTCAGGCATTACTTGTTCAGCCTACTTGTTTCAGTTATTCATTTTAACTTTAAAACATTTATAGCGAAAGGCAGGCTATGTGTCTCTTCTGTAATCTAGGGATGCAGATTTGCTGGAGCTTTCTTCCTTATTTTGAAGGTGAGGTTATATGATATCTTTTATTGAACTGTGATTGATGATTTACCAAAAAAATAACTACTGGTTACTGACGTAATTTGGTATTCTTCAAATTTTGGCTTTAGGTATAAGATTTTGTTCGTTAAATGTTAATGTTGTTTTCGTGACTGCAGAAAGAAAGATTGGAAAGAGAAATGGAGGTCAAGAGGGTCAGGGAAGAACTACTGCGACAACAAGCACAGCAAAAAGATTCACTTGCATAGTCTTCTCATTTTGTTTTTGGAAGCTATGTATGAACTTCCTATTTTGTAATGTTGTTTTCCCATAGTTATTCTATCTGATGCAAGTAGAACTCATAAAACACAACTGTATGGTTTGATTGAATTTGGAAAATAATTTGCTCTTTGTTATATACTGTTTTACACCCATCATGATTATTGGGATTTGAAGCATTGTGAAGTTGGTTCTTTCTATTGGTAAATTCATGCTCTGTGGGTTGATACTCTTGAACTTATTTGCTTCTGTTTGATGGAGAAATGATCAGTCAAAATTTTAAGCTTTGTAAACTCATCAAACACTAGGACGTGTATTCTATAGGTTGATACACAAGAACTTACTGGCTACTGTTTGAAAGGGAACATTGCAAAATCCGTCATCCTTTTTCTATTTTTCACTGGTATGCACTGTTTCACTTTGTTTTGATATTGGTGCAAGTCATTCTCAGCCTTCACAGGTTCAGAGGTTATTATATTGATGCCTCCACTTTACTCTTGTGCTAGCAAATGAAAACTGCTTTAAGATAGCTTTTGGTTCCATGTGCAGTAGATTGGAACAGAATAAAGTTGCAGGCCAATCATTAGCACTATAAGATTGAAGACCGGTGTGACTTTTAAGGTTGAAAAATGATTAGTACCCCAAGGTTTTTTCTTGAAGAAAGGTTAAACAAATTGGGCCATCTGACCTCGTTGGTTGTGCAATTTACTAAATGTTGGTGGATTTAACGATTGGATATGATTCATGTAGCCGACGGGTTATAGTTGTGTCAAGGCTTTGATGATGATGCTATAACATCCATTTAACTTCGTCATTTTTCAGATCCAGGAAATTAGTCAAATACATTTCAAGACATGGGACATGGTGGTTGAATGCAAATATAAAAAAGCAAGGTTTTTTTGGGGAGATCAGTATCTAGTAAAGCGGACTAAAGAGGCATCGGCTGAATGCAAAGCTGTGCCGCTGTTTGAATCTCTGAAGATGGTGGTAGTAGTTAGGGTTATATACAAGTTGAGGGAGATGATGCACAATTAATGACCACTTCTCTGTTGGAGGATAACTCTTCTCCTCTTTGGCGGATCTAAACCGTTGTTGTCGATTGCAAAGGGTTATATGCCAGAGTCACCCACTGGCCACTGCTCAGTGAAATATATCAATAGAAGATACAATAAGGTGGCTCACCAATTAGGGAAGCATTCTATATCCCTTTCTAGGTCTTATTGTTTGGTCCCGTCCACCTCATTTTATCTCTGGTGTTTTATCAGCTGACTTTAATTCCTGAGCAGTTTAATGAATTTATTTGCCTTTTGGCGTCTAAAAATAAATAGCCACTCGATATGAAGCTGCCCTTTATGCCGCAAATATATCAACAGATTTAACGGGCGTATTGCAGCAAACAAATGCCATATCATCAAGTTTTATGCTTTTATGTGGAGTAGCAGCGTCAGGATTCTGTTGCACTTCAGTCATGTGTTCTTTAGAAGCATTTTGTACAAAGTGTTTATTTTACCTTTGCATTGTTTGAATATACATGCATGTTTACTGTGAAGGATCGCTAAAACTGGGCAGTGCATTCCACCACCACCAAGGAGAACTTGGGCGTGTGCTCATTGTATTCAACAATGGCTAACGGGGAATTTCAACATTTGGATTTTGGTAGTCTTTTTTTTTTTCAATAAGCATTTGTGACTATTTCGTTTTTTATTTTATTTCAAATTTTACGAAAGCACTTTTATAAAAGTATTTTATTTATGAAGACACTTTAATAAAAGTACTTTTATGAAAATACTTTTATAAAAGCACTTTCATAAAAGCATTTTTCTAACAGTATTTTTATGAAAGTACTTTCAGAAAAGCACTTTTAAAGTTCTTTTATAAAGCACTTTTACAAAAGTATTCTTTATGAAACTACTTTTATAAAATTCAAATAGGGATAATTTTATAAGTGGTATTTTAAAATTCTAACTAGGGATAGTTTTGGAAGAAAAAAATTGAATAAGTTAAAAAAAAAAGGCTGAAAATTTGAGCTTAAAAAATAAGCCCTTAATTTTAAAATAAACACTTATTTTGGACTTATTTTTCAAACACCAATAAGTGATTAATGGTGTGGTCCCAACCCAAATAAGCAGTCCCAAACATGGCCCAAACTATCTTGGGTAACTTAAAAGCTCGTAAGCTTCTCTTGCTAAGTTGCTATGGACGCACCATGAAATTTGGAAGGTTATAATTTTGAGAGAATATTGGAGCAATATATTTGAGAGTGGAGATTGCTAATTTTGGTTTGGTGGTTTCTTGAAGCAACATATTTTTCTTTTTTCATGCCACCTTAACCATTCCAACATGTTTAGGGCATTTGTGTTCTATAGTGTGTGAGTTCCGACTTCAGATATTGCTAGTAAGCTTTCTGGCTGGTTGTAGCATAGACTTAGGATCCAATTCTGCCTTCAGAAGGGTTTCGGGGATGGGGTAAAATGATTTAAATGCTAGAGACCATTTGTGCACTGGATGAAGAGCAAGAGTTTTTATAGGACACCAGCAAACTTCAACATAATGGATTTTGTGAGGGATACCTTTCATATGGCATTTTCTCATTCTCGAGTTGCTTATTCAGTGAATACAATCAATGTAAATTTTTTCTATAAAATGTTGTGATGTAAAAGGATAATGTTTGAAACCTTTTCCATATAGGTTTAAGAAGGGATTTGCCCAACATTTTAAACATCCGGGGAAAATTTGGTATTATAAAATTTTTGGAGTAAGTATTAGCAGCTCTAAATGGTGCAATGACAAAGGTCTTATCTATGTTATATAAGTTGTTTTTAAAAGTTCATGTAACCATCCCTTTTAACTATTGCCACAGTATTTAAAACACAAAAAGGGTAAATTAGAAAGACCCCTTTACTATGGGGTCAGTGACAATTACTCCCTTGAACATTCATAATAACCCCACTAAACTTTTTCTTTGCGACAAATACCCCTCTCCATTAAGTCAAATGACCAGATGCATTAATTACCAAAATACCCATATGAGTTTTCCTTATTTTTCTTTTACTCACCCTTTTCTCTTAAACCCTAATTGACACAAAAATACCTCCATTTTCTCTAAACGTAACCTAATTAACATACAATAATCATTTCATTATCATAGAAAAACAAGTTTCTTTAAATTCTTGTTTCACTTTGATGGGGTGTGATTTAGTGCTCCGTGCTAGAGGATAGCTTGGATGTCAAAGTGATGAAGTCGACTGGTCGAGCTGTAAGAAAGCAGTAATCAAAGTATTCAAGGTAGGAACTCCAATGCTTAAGTCAGTGAAGAATATGAATGCTAGAAAGCGAGAGAGCAAAAGAGCTATACTGTGCATACCTTCTTTGATCAGTGGGACGCCTTTATATAAACGCAGGTTGTTGTGGACTTCACGTAGCATGTCTGAGATCTCTAGGAGGACATGGCTTACCGGTCTACCTCGTCCAAAGGTGCTTTCATGCTTGGAGACAATTTTTGCATGGAGTGATAGAGCTTGTCCAGTTGCCTTCGAAGCAGGCGGGGCGGGAGCCGAATCTGTCGATGAGGCGACGTGATCCCGGAGGATGTGGAGATGATAGCCCACACGTAATGGAGGTCAACCACCACGTCATGCAGGTTGCTACCTAGACCTTAGTGTGCTCTCCCGACGTGTGTAAGGTGCAGGCAGGAAGGCCCTAACCGAGGTGTAGGACAACCACCATGTCATGAAGGTCCAAACCTGGACCTTAGTGCCCTCTAATGAAGTGCGTGAGGTGCTGACAGGTTGGCCCTATCCGACGTGCAAGTCGGCCACCATGTCATGCAGGTCACTACTTGGACCTTAGTGTGCTCTTCCAAAGTGTGCAAGGTGTTGATAAGTTGGCCTATTCGAGGTGCAAGACAGCCACCACGTCATATAGGTCACTACTTAGACCTCACTTGGGTTGGTGAGACCTTGGCGAGAGGTCGCCCTTTGTGCTGAGGTCTCTAGCTCGGTCCTAAGGTGGCCAGCCTAATCTTGACAAGGTGTTTATAGATTGACCATGGCAAGGTGGTGACAAAGCACCCTCAAGGTATGTGAGGCGCATTCAACGTGGTTCCGAGGAGATCTCTATTATTTTGGCTAAGGTAAAGTATCGCCTACGTGGTGTTGGGGTGTCGTGCGACAATTCTAGGATGCCACATGGCATGATGTCACTGGAGGGCTAAATCACCCCTCATCATATTTCATAGACATGAATGTCTCTCTTCATCTTAAAATATAAAAAGTATCCATTCCTTGCTCCAATAATCCAAGAAAAACTAAACAAAACCTCAAAATTATATCTATAAAAAAGGACCTCTACCATTTATTTGAATATTGAATTAAGCCATAAATCTGAAGGATCTATTGGAGCAACCGAGATGAATTCAATATTATACTTATAAAGTTAATCAAATCATAAATCGTTGAAATAAATAAGAAAATGGTAATTTAGGGATTAAAAAAAAATTAAACAATTGAATGACAATGTTTCAAAATTAGCTGACGGAACAATAACGGACAGGGTATTTATCACAAAAGAAATGTTTAAAGGGATAATTGTCACTCACCCCATCATGGTTTTCAAAACTGGAACGGACCAGATGGTCAGACTGGAAAAACCAGGAACCGGTCAGGTGATTGGTTTCGATTTTCCCCAAAACCGAATTTTCTTTGAAAACCGTTGATTTTGGTCAGCAAACCGCTGACCCGGGCAGTTAACCGTTCGAACGATTTTAACTGTTTTTAATTTTTTTATATTTTTGTCAGGACGGGTCGACCGTTCGACCCAATAACCAGACCCTGACCAGTTCGATCTCCAAGTCGGTTTTAAAAGCCATGCACCCCATAGGCCCACAGTACAGAAGGGGTATTTGGAATTTACCCAAAAAAAAAAATCTGGGGGCTTAACAAACACTGAATTAATCATGGCTTTATAGGTGCTTGGTTTGCCCGTTTATAAGTCTGATTTTCAGATATGTTTGACAACTGTGCATTCCTTTATGATATAAAGCCTCCACCCACACCATCGCAAATACATCACTATCCGCTTTCATAGTCGACAGATTTGGTGATGGGTGCTGCATTGAAGAGATAAGGAAAAAGAAATAATAGAACATGCATCACATCCCAGATAGAGATAGAGATAGTTAATAAAACTAAAGAAGCGTCACATGATGAAGGCGTTCAAAAGCTAGCTAGA